TCAGAAACTGCCGGAAGTCCATTTTAAACTGGACATAAGGAACAACTTCTTTACCATCAGAGTCTCCAGGGTTCCCCCCCAACAGAAGTTGTGCAAGGATCTACTCTAGATACCTTTAAGAAACGCTTGGATGCCTCTCTTGCTAGTGTGATCTGACCCTAGCTGACTTCCTGCCCCTTGGACAGGGGGCTGGACCCAATAATTTCATGAGGTTCCTTCCAGCCCTAACATCTATGAAATCTTTGAAATCTCCATGAGCTGCATATTCTGTGCTTTGCTCCTGAGGAAATACAGACTTTCACCCAACATGTCTGAATTACTATAAAAGATGAGAAATGTTAGCAGTTGAACTCTGAAGTTAGATTTAGGGAAACATCTGTTTAAAAGGTGAGGAAAATAAGAGACCCTTGTTCTTGTTTGAAGATGCCAATCTTAGAAAGTATTAGTTCTGAGCACTGAACTGGCAAACATTATTTATCACTGTTCATTTGGGTAACTACTGGGAGAACTGTAAATATTGTGGATATCCAAACAGTTTATGTAAAAAATAAATACACAGTTAGTGCATCAGGGAGAAGAGGTCTCTGTCCCAGACCTACTCTTAGTAACTGAAGTAAATAAAGTGTTGGATATAAAAGTTGACCTGACCCATATTTTGATTACTATAGAGTAGCTATTCCTATCATTTCCAGCAAGGATTCAAACAAGCTATCAGGGCGTATTTTGAGACAAAGTATTTCCTTTTTTCTTTCACCAATTCAGCAGCTAAATAAAATGTCAGAAATGGATAATAGGTTATTTGTTATGATTCATTTAAAATTGTGATCCAAAATGTTTAAAAAAATGCATTTAAAGTGCTATTTTGTAGTTGACGTTGTTAATTAAGCCTATTACTTCAAACACAACTTCCAATTATAACGTTCAAATACTGGCTCTTCAGCTCAGTTGGGTAGAGAGTGGTGCTAACAACACCAAGATTGCAGGTTTGACTAGACGGTCTCTTGAGGCCCCTTCCAGCCGTACTAATGTATGAATTTCTGTTTTTGTTTTTTTGTTGTGTTTTTTAAAGATTTTTACCTAAACTTTCCAACTAACTGTGAAGGGTTATTTTTTTTCAATAAATTAAAACATTTAAAATTAACTTACCTACTAGATCATCACGTAGGTTATCTTCTGCTTGAACAGGAATTTCTGTAAATCAGAAGTTGGCAGACATTTAAAAATGAAAATTTTTTTTTTTTTTGGTAAAATTTCTGTTGCTCAAAATCAACTTAAAAGACTCCAAAAGCCTGGTTAGAATATAATTAATTGAGGGATTCTGATTCTCACATTAACAATTCACAAGATAAAAAGTGTTGTTTATAAACAGACCACAAATCATTTAGAAGCAAAATAGTTTCAAAATGAGGTAGGAAGTCCAGGAGCCTAAGAGGCTCTGAATAACAAAGTAACAATCCACAATAAGGTGTGAACAGCCAAGTACACTACTTACTTATGAATTAGCTAGCACACAGTGGTGCCCAAATTTTTCACCCTGTGGGCCAGACAGGCAGTGCCAGTGGGTTTGATCCAGCAAGCGGGGCAGGTGCATCCAGGATCCAACCCCTCCCCAGGAGGAGGGGGAGGAGGGGTACAGCCTGGCTCAATTGGCCATGGCGGGTGCGGGAGGGGAGCCTGGCCCTGATCTGGACATGCAGCTGGGGCAGGGGGCATGTGATCCAGCTGCAGTGGGTGGGGCAGGGGTGGAGCAGGGTGGCTCCAATCCAGCAACAGCAGTTGGGGAAGAATGGGGTGGACAAGTGCAGGGACAGGTGTAGAGCAGCCTGATCCCAATCTGGATGTGCACAGTGGCATGGGGGCAGGGAAGGGGGAGCAGCCCAGCCCCAATCTGGTGGTGCCGGTGGACAGGCCCTATCCTGATTCTGCTGTGCTGCAATGGCCTGGGCAGGGCTAGATCTAGCCAGAGATTCCACCACTCCCCTGCCACCAAATCTTCTGACCCCTGAGGATCCCTGCAGGCTGGATACCAGGGTTCAGTAGGCTAGATTTGACTTGTGGGGCAAGGGTTGAGCACCCCTGAGCTAGCACCCTGATCTAGCGTAATTAATCCAGTTTAAATGGTGCTTTTAATGTTGAAGTAAATGGGATTTGGCAAATCCATTTTCCCCATTTAAAAAACTGTCCATATTACCCATGAGCATCTCAAGTGCTTTACACTATTCTCCACTGAAACCAAAAATTGTACAGTATGTACTTACCATTCTGCCTAAGACTGTATATCATGCATCTTGTTAAAATGACAACACACAAAAAAGTCTCAAAGGTGCTGACAGATGTGGGGTAACCAGCCCCCCAAACAAACAAACAAACAAACAAACAGAGAACTTTACTGGAAAAGGAAGCGCATGTTACATTTATGCTGTGGTTAACATGTTAATTGCAGCATAAATGACAAGGTTGTTACACTTGTACTTGTATATTTTAGGTGCCATAAAATGGCCAACCAGCCATAAAATTGCTCCATGTATAACTATAGAACAATGTTGTGGATGGTTTGTATGGCACCTTAAACTGAATGTGCGGCCAAGCCAACAACTGCCTGATAGGTGGTTTGGGCCAGAGACCACACTGGGGGTCTGGAACCAGCCCCAGTGAGTTCCCCACCAGCTTAGCAATTAGCTGTCAGTTCAGGCTGGAGACCACAGCAGGGGTCTGGAACCAGCCCCACTTCCAGACCTTGGTACAGTGTCTCACCCCAGTTCACAATCTACTATCAGAGCTGTGAACACCCAGCTTTAAACTTGCTGGTGTATGGGGAGCCTGGGATCATAATTATGATTACAATCTCAGGCTCGCCCTGCACTACCAAAGAGGGCACAATTGACATCTGATCCCCAATCCCAAAATCATTCCACGTCCCATGGCACAGTTACATGAATATCTGCCAGGGGTCTAATTGTCATATTATGTAAATTTCACATTATTTAAAAAATAGGAGCAGAGATTCAGAGCAAAAAGACACTATACAAACCTGTTTCATGAGGTTCAGCAACAACTTGGTCTTCTGCATGTTTTACTTCTTCTGTTTGAAGGAAATTTAAAAAGTTATATTCGGGATATGTTTGAATTTGTTCCTCTCCCAATATTCAGTATCAGAAAATATGCAAGAGTTAAATATAGACAAACAAACTGGTCAATAAAACACTAGCCAAGTGCAACAAATTACTACATGCAAATTTAATGCATTTCCATTACAGAATGAATCACATATTAAAGAAGCAAAAATATTTCACAGTAAAATATCAACAGCATAAATAGCTAGATTAAAACAAGAATTTTCAGAACAAATGTCATATAGGAACAAATCCTCAGACAATATTGTCATTCAGTTCTTTCGAAGTATTGCCTGAACCAAGAAGTGGTTATAAACACCCTACACTTGCTCCACACATACCATCACCTAAAACTGAAGTGGTATAGCTACTTTAATGCAAAAGTGATGGGTGTATGCATTGCACCACAGCAAGGCAGCTATACTATTTCTGGTTCAGGGAACTATCAGTCAGTACCATCACAGCATAGTATTATCTATTATTTGTAGAGCCACACCCAGTAAGGCTTGAAAGGTGTTTTTTGTTATGAACTGACGGACATTAACTTGCCCTTTTTGGAACACTGCTTTGTATTATGTTTGATTCAAAACCTTCTTAAATTGCAATGGTTCCTGGTGACATTAAAGCCAAAGATACAAATGGATTTTTTTTTAACTAAGTCTTTTCAAGCAGTCTTCAGAATGAGATACGTATATATTTTTGCATAGGTAACGAAACAATCATCTGTCTTTGGAGAATTAAAGTATCAAATATTGTTGTACATGCTGCACAAAAAATTAAACACAGTCCTTAGCAAAACCGATTTAAAAAAAAAAAAAGTAAATGCTCATACCTAATGGCTTCTCATTTATTTCCACATCTTCAGGAATTTCACCTACAATGCAAGGTTCACAACAATATAATTAAACAGCTTTAGTGTTAAATACTCCAAACAGGTATATTTACATGCTTTAAAGATAAAGTTCCAAAAACATACCTGGCTCTGTATCTTCATCTACTGGCTCCGGATGGGCTCCTGTAGTTAAGATACAAAATTTATAGCAATGACTACAAATGACAGTACTGGAGGAACCTAAGTTGCTCCTTATAGTGCAGTACAGTGCAGCGCAGCACAGAACGACAGGGGAACCCAGTGACAGGGAGCTGAGGATGCAGGCCAGAGCATCTGCAGCGCTACAACCCCCACTGGTGCAGCCAGTGGGCGACGTGGCCCTCAGCCGCTTAGAAGCTGGACAGCCCTGAACTAGGCAAAATATGTTTTGAAAAAAGAAAATCTAAGGCTTGAATTAATGAATGGAAACTAGTTTTAACAAATACATCAAATGCAATGGATGTTTAACAGGAAGCATCTTCTGTTGACACTGGATATTTATGTTGACTTACAACTATCAGTTTTCAATTCTCTTTTTTTAGTATATGCCTCAAATTTAAAGATGTGCAACCACTCCTTGCAAACAGGTCTTATGGCATGAGCGGAAACTAAGGGCTAGAACAGATATTATATTTACCACATAACTAATGTGTTAATTGCATGATAAATTGTAACATGCCACATGTTTGATCAATTTATGGCACAATAAAATAGCCAACCACCTCCAAAGATGTTCCACATTCAAATTAAAGCTCAATATAAACAGTTAACGTGTGCCATGGTGTGCAGGAAGCTCAACAGCTGATGCTTTCTGCACAGGGGCCTAAAACTCAAGAAACTTAAAGATATTTAATTGAGTCAAATCCTAAAATACTGATGCGAATGAAGCATAAAAGGGTTAATGAACGGACAGAACAGAGGTAAGTTTGAACAACAGTACATTTCATATTCTACTCCAGAGATCTGGGATCTATAAACTATTAACAATTTTACTGTAAGCATTAAAATGTTAAGAATAAACATTTGCTACTTTGGTATACCTGGAAGAATTTTTTTGTTTTCAAACTTCCCCCCCTAGAATTCACTTTAAACTACAACATGCAACAGATTAAGTTATTTTAAGCAGGTATATTTTAAACAAATAGATATTGTTATACTATGGAAATAAAGTAATTTGGTAAAAAAAGTTTTTAACCTTCCTTTTAGAGATACCCACAGCTGACTATACTTACTTTCATCTTCCACATCAGCCATTCCTGTTCGATGTATAAAAGCAGGTACAGAAGTTTATTTTTAGAGATACAAGTATGGGCCATTATCAAAGTTAAAGGTTAAGAGAACTGTTCATAAAATATGAACAGTCTAAAAATATATCCTTTTATGATGAAAAAGAATGTTCCATCTACAAGTATATATCTTTTTAGGAACATACAACTGGAGGGCTTCTTTTGAGCCACTGAATCCTGTCCATTCATTTGCAGGCAACTTAAGTCAAAGAATCTCCAAAATTTCCAACTTCAAATTTTTACATGCATCCATAAGCAACAGTATGTAGAGCACACTATAACAGGGATTGGCAACCTTTTGCTGCTGTAGGCCACTGCTTGCAAAGCAGACCCTGCTGTAGGCACAGATCTATGCAATCCCCAGGCAAGTAGCAGATGCTGCAGAGAGAATAAACTAAATGCTACTCATGTTCTTGTCATGAGTCCTGGGATCCTCCATAAATGTATACGCAGATGAGGGGCAAGACAACCTGGTCTGGCTCCACCTCATGGAGAGTGGACTGAGGAAGGGGGCAACAGAGGGATTCTGGGTGAACTGTTTGGGGTTCCATTTGCCAGGTACTTAAAGCTGATAAATAAACAAGACTCACTGGAAATGGAAAAGAAAGGCACAGCTCAGCTATGGGAGTGAAGAGGCTGTCAAAATGTATTCATGGCTTACCATGATTAGAAAAAGAGTTGGTGTTGGGGTGGGAGGCAGGGAAGGGGGGACTGTGCAAAGTGGGCACTAACATATCTTATTCAGGTGGGCTGCATTAACCTATCCTAATGTTAAGTTGCCTGATATGGCTTTTCCCTGCATGATGATTGGGGCAGGGAGGGATTTAACTTGTATTCAAGTAAATATTATTTGTGAAACATACCCTCATAGATTCTCAGATTGATATTTTAAGGTAACTGAAGAACTCTAGCAGAAGTAGGATAGTAGGATCAAGATGCTTTATTTATCATCTTCCTGGCATAAATGAGTTTGTAAATAGAGTGGAACCTTGTTAATTATTGCACACATTTGGGCACACAAATGGCAGTTCACCTCTTTTTTAATCTATTCCATTCCAGGTTGGCCTAAAAAAAAAAATCTCTCTCTCTCTCTCTCTCTCTTGAGAGAGAAATTTAAAGGAAGAGAAGGAGCAGACTGTCCTCTTCTCTACTCCTAGCCTCACTGAAGACCTTACTTAAAAAGTATTTATTTTTTTAATGCAGTACACAGTAAAGCAATTGAGGAAAGTCAGTATGCTGAAGTAAGTTACCTGTAATTTCTTCCTTTTCTGCAGTCTCTGATTCTGCATACTCTAAAGGGGTAAAAGGTTTATCTGTCAATTATTTGTTAAAGAGTGACAATATGAAAAACATTTAAAGAACAGGGTTTTAGTTGTTTGGGGTTTTTTTTAGGGGGGGGTTGTTTAAACTGGACAAAAAATAAAACACAAAATTAGACTTAATAACCTAGAAGACAAGTTTAGCTTCCTCTTTACTTTCTTCTGTTTACTTTCTTTCTCTTTCCTTTGTACCTGACTCGTCATAGCTCCAACCACTTTTTTTCTCCTCATTTATGTCTATAGGGTTTCTTACACAGTATTTTAATGTGAGGATAGGAATTGCCAGATGAAATCATATCAACAATTCATCGAATTCAATATCCTATTCTCATCAGTGGTTAGAGCCAAGGGGTCAAACAAAGAGAAAAGGAAGGTTATTTTTGATGAGTGTGGGATACCCTGACCACAACTTTAGATTGTTTCAGTCTCTTTACAGTTACAGACCAGTTTAAATACTGGTCTGTAACTGTAAAGCTTGAAGCTTAAAATCTGTTCTAATATTTGTTACCATTAACTATTAGAATTCTTAGATAGTCTTGTTATCCAGATACAAGTCCAATTGCTTCCTGAATCTTGCTAATTTTATGGCATGAAAGACAGCCAGTTCCTCAATCTAATGGTATATCTTGGTTTGTTATTTTATATATTTTATAATGTTAAGTAAAACCAAAACAAACAGCCTTTCAATTGTATCTTTTCATCTGCAGACTGTTATTTAATTAGGTGATATTCCAGAACAACATAACATCTAAAAAGAGCAACAAGTCAAAGTAGTCAATTTGGTAGTTTCTAAAATGTGAATGCATCTTCTGCAGGATGCTCCTTGCTTAACTGCTGACAACATACACTCAATTTGAACCACAACCAAGAGGTGAAAAGAGGACATATTAAATTAGTGCATTAACTGCCTCAAGGAGCCCCACCTACCAAAACCATCCTAACACACATTTAAAAAATGAATGCTATTTTATATATAGTAAGAGCATGATCAAACTTTTGAATACTCCATAATATACCTAAGATGATAAACTGGAATTATGATAATTTGCAGTGCCTTACCTAAGAATTACCTAATGTTAAATTATTAGTATTAATTACATCTCAATTAAATTACCATTTACTCACAGTCTTAACTTTTTAAACATTTGTCTAAATCGAGGTATCTTTCAACATGTACCTGTTGTATCAATATCATCTGTACCTGGATCCTGGATCTCAGTCTCTTCTTCATGTTTTGGTTCTAAAAAAGATGGAAAAATAGTATTCAAAAGAGTTGGAGGCTTGATTTGCCCAAAGAATCATAAATGTATAATGTTACAGGTGGAAACCCACTCTAAATTCATTTAGTTCATTCCTCTGGAAGTCAGTATAATACTGTTCAAATGTCTTCTTCAGTACAGTTCTGGGTATTGACCATGTAGCAATTCTGCACAAACAAAGCCCTTATAAGAGTCAGTGGAAATTCCACAGGGATGCTTTTGCACCCAAAAAGCATTAAAATAAGAGGGTTCAGTAAGGAGCAGAGTTGAGCATAAAACACAGGAGCAATAGCCACTCTCATGAAAAACAGCTCAGATAGAGGAAGACCTACCACTGTTCACCTTATACATAATACAGTGTATAGGATTTCCTCAGTCAAAGGAGCTTCAAATCCACATGCCCTACCTCCCAAGAGAGTGTTGTAGGCACCAAGCTAGAGACTAGGATGAAGGAACAAGCAGCTTTCTCTGGCCTCTATTGAAGCTCTATCACTGTGCAGAAACAAATGCAAGATTCACAGGACCAGAAAAAGAGAGTAAGAATGAACATGAGATGAGGACATATATGAAAAGAGGAAAGAAGTTTTGGGTCTGCTTATGCATTTTGCATTAAAAAGTGATTGGATAAAACACATAAATAGTGTTAGGAGCAAGGACTTGAACTCAGCCTCCCTTTCCCCACAGCGATAGCCTGAATCACTGGCTACTGAGTTAGGTTCCCTTGCTTGCTGGCTGGCTCAAATCTTGCATTTTGCTACACAACAGCCTAATAGCCATAGGAATAAAAGGCATGAGAGGGAGACAGGGAAGGAAAGAGTGCTACCCCTTCAGCTTAGCCATTAGCCCAGTATTAAAGGCAGTCTCAAGGGAGGTGAAATATGAGGATTTGAACCCAGTCATCCACTCTTCAAGCTGAGAGTAATCCAGTAATCCTTGTTGCTTGCTCCAATCACTAAGCTATTATAAAATAAATTAAAGATCATCTCAACCTTCTTCTACAGCCAAGTTTCAGAAGAGTAAACTAGTTTTCTACATCCAGGGGATGATTTAAAGTACCTAACTGCTGGAGAGGGTTCAGCTCTATGATTCCTAGCACCCTATAAATGCCTAACTCAGTACTGAAAAACACGTATTTAAAATGCTAGATATTAGTAACATTTTAGACATATTTAAGGCTTTTCTTATTGGCTATCTTGGGTATCTCCCACGACTCAGCAGGCTGGTTACTGTAAAACCTATTTGGAGGTGTCTAATTCCCCCTTCAGCTCTTTGGTTTTGTGAATTCAATTCTATAAATCAAGGCTGCTTGCAGACATTGAGGGGGAGCAGGGTGGAGAGGGTGGAAGAGAGAGACTGCTTTATTGAAAACAGCAGCACATTACTTAGACCCAGCTCTGCAGTGTCTGTATAAATCAGGCACTTCAGCAGGGCTTTTTGGCTACTAGATAAAAGCTCCAAAAAAGCCCTACTAAAGTACCTGATCTATACAGATGCTGCAGAGTCACACTGAAGTAATGCATTAATTTCTGAACTTGAGCTGGGCTTGGCACAGGAGCACACCAAATTTAAAGTTAAGTGCAGTATGTTTTTTTTTCACATTTGCAAGCAACCTAAGTGCCTGAAGGTTAGATGCAACACCCAAGCCCCCTCCTAAATGTAAGTCTTTATTTTTAAAAAAAGAAACAGCAATTTGAATAATAGCACAATTTAAGTTAGTTCTTACTCTTGAAAATTATGTTGTTAGTGCCCTTTTTTTTTGTAATTTCCTTGTAACAAATATGTAAGTAAGTGCAAAGCTCAAATAATGTATTTCAATTGAGCAATGCCATTAAAATTACATTTTCAAAAGAAACCTTTTGAGGGAAAGCGGGCTTATAAAAAACAGTGAATTATTAACATGACAGAAAACGTATTCTTTATTATGACCAATATTTTCAATAAAGATGATGGCTGTTATACCATGTTCTTCATTGTAGTCTTCCTGTACCATGTCTTCTGTAAAAGTGAAATGAATGTTCAAGTCAGAATTTTAGGGATAACAAAACAACTAATAATAACCCAAGAAGGTATCCAATATCAACATTATTTATTCAAAAATAAAATTCATAAATGCTTTAAAAGTATTATTGAGAGCCTAATTCAGGCTTAGGGGTGTTGGTTGTAGCCATGTTGGTCTAAGGACATAGGCAGACAAAGTTCTTTGGGTAAATCTGATATCTTTTATTAGACCAACTAAAATAGTTGGAAAAATTCTTTTTTGCAAACTTTTGGGCACAAACACTAGGCCTGTGTGAGTAGGCAGCTATTCGATCTGGCTTCGGATGCCAGGGATCCGATCTGGAGCAATGGACTGGGTTCCCGCTTCAATCCGGCCAAATTGGCTCCGAAGCCTTGGAGCCACCTCAGAGATCCTGCCGTAGCAGGGGCTACCTCCCTGCAGCTTTCTCCCTGCTGCACCCTAACACACACCGTGTCACCCATGTCATGAGTTTTGCTTGTCCACAGCTTGAGGTGCAGTTCCTCCCAAACCCCTGCACCCATCTTCTTGAAACCTGGCAGGCTTTGTGGCCTCACCAGGGGCTACCACCCCTGCAGTTTTCACCCCCCTGTGTTGTAACACACAGACGTGACATGAGTTTTCTTTCAAGAATTTGGGGTGCAGTTCCCCCGAACCCCTGCAATGATCTTATTGAAACTTGGCAGGCTTGATGCTCTCAGCAGGTTACCATCCCTGCAAATTCCATCCAAATTAGACAAAAAACAACAAAGTTATTGATATTTCATTGATTCCCCATTATACCCTATGGCAGCATCTCCAAAGCGGCTCTGAAGCTTTTCCAAAGTGCTTCAGAAGCTCCGACCCGCTTTGGAACGCCTAACTAAGCCAGTGGTTTGATCCAGACATGTTGTTTCAGATGCCAAAGCATCTGAAGCTTCTGTGGATCCAAAGCATGGTCCGAAGCCTCACACAGCCCTAACAAACACCCTTCTTCAGGCATAGGGAGCGTATTTTACTTGGTCTAATAAAAAATATCAGATATACCCGAAGAACTTTGTCTGCCTAATTCAGGTTTAGGTTTAAAACTACTCCATCAAAATCAAAATAAAGTGTAATACATTATGTAAAGCTGTAAGAACCTTTCACTTGTGTATTAAAAAAAAGAGTCCCACACATAACCAAAACCCAGCTTTTTAAACCCAATGTGTAAAACAGAAATAAAAATTCAGACAGTATACCTGGGGGATATTCAATATTCTCTTCTACAAATGATTCAATGTCATCTAAAAAAAGAAGTACTTTTAGTATGCTGTGTTTTGATTAACGAGTTGTTAAATAGCTCAGGAACGCAGGTGTAACCACATCAACTAATATATCAATATTTATCAGAACAATGCAATATGCTGCTTAACAATGACTACTGAATTATAAAAAAATCCAGAATATACACCATGGTCATATCCAGATGAGCACAGCCATTTGGTAGCACCACACACTGCACATTCAGGCATTTCTTGTACTGCTACCTTGCAGCACAGGAGGATTTTTTGACCCTGGGAGATCATAAGATCAAAAAATCTGTGTGGAAAAAATGTGGAGTGGTGCATGTGGCAGCAATGTGTGCCACCTAAAAGCAGAGTCTGGCCCGCTAGAGCCACACTCCAGCTGTCAGCCAGACTCTACGCTGCAGGATCGACATGGCTGCAGCTTCTCCAGCCCCTGGGTGAGGCTGTTGGGGCCAACATAAATTGCTGGCCCTAGTCTCCCCTACCCACCCAGGGTAACCTGCTGCACACCAGAGGCCACGTGGCACAGGCGTTCCCCAGGGACAAGCAGAACTGGCACAACATGTGCTGCTGCTACTTGTCCCCAGGGAAACAAACATTCCTGCTTATCTAGACATACCCCCATGGGCCCTCAACCCTTTACTTATGCACATACTTAAAATCAAAAACATGCCTATCTGACTGAAGCTAGCTGAGCTACTCACTTAAGTAAAATTAAGCACATATTTTCAACAAGGGCACACACAATCCTCAGTGAGTTTTAAATGCAACTGTAAAGCAAAGAGTATTGAAAAACTAGGAGAATACACACACAATTTTTACTTTTGATCAAAATATTGTTTTGACATATACCATACATGATAATAAGCGGGGGGAAATTTAAAATAATGCTAAATGTTTTCCTTTTCTTCTGAGATGCCTGAAACAGGGTAAGAATTATTGCAAGACAAAGACAGTTAGAATAATGAAGGTAAGAGGGTTTTTTTGTTTTTTTAAATGAGCCTATAATTTTGGTTAACAGTGTGTTGACTTATATATTGTATGTAGTATCATTCTGATGAATAAAAAAACACTGTAGTGTATATTAAACATTAAAAACTGGCTCACGTATCTTAAAATATAATTTTTAACTGGAATTCAAACGAGGACACTCTTAGTGGACAGTCTTGCAAGAACTGTTCTTATAAATAATGCCAGCATTATTTAATGACAATAGCATGGAAGAAAATATAATCTTTACTAATTAAACACATGCTACTGGACTGGTGAAATGAAGACAAGTCATTTATATCAAGTCATTAAGATTCTCTAATACAGTGGGAGGCCAACCTTTTTAGCAAGTCATAGAATCATAGAAAACTAAGGCCGGAAGACCCTCTGGTCCAACTCCCCAACCAGATCTTTCCAGCCAGGGCTCTGTCAAGCTGGGCCTTAAAAAACCTCCAAGGAGGGAGATTCCACCACCTCTCTAGGTTATCAGTTCCAGTGCTTCACCACCCTCCTAGTAAGAAAGTTTTTTCTAAGATTCAACCAAAACTTCCCTTGCTGCAAGTTGAGACCACTGCTCCTTGTTTCATCATCTGCCACCACTGAGAACAGTCTAGCTCCATCCTCTTGGGAACCACCACCTTTCTGGCAGTTAAAGGCGGCTATCAAATCCCCTCTCAGTCTTCTCTTCTGCAGCCTAAGCCCAATTCCCTCAGCCTGCCTTCAGAAGTCTTATGTCTCAGCCCCAAAACATTTTCATTGCCCTCCGTTGGACTCTTTTCAACTTGTCCACATCCTTTCTGTAGCAGGGGGGCCTAACATTGAACACAGTACTTCCAGGGGTGTCCTTACCAGTGCCGAACAGAGGAGAAAAATAATTATTTCCCTCAATCTGCTGCCAATGCTCCTACTAAAGCAGCACAGTACGCTGTTAGCCTTCTTGGCAACAAGGGCACACGCAAGCATGCTAGAATGTACCATATTTTCTCACACAATGCCCCCCCACAAAAACACACACCTTATTTTTGGAAGCAGAATATAGAAAGAACATATTTTTCACTAAGTCGTGGCTGACTGTGACAGAGTAAGTTCTCTTGGGAACACAGTGTTTCCAGGAAATGGAGCATTATGAACTTCCTGGTATGGCAGACTGTCTCCTGCAATGCCACACTTCCTAGACATGTCCCATTTCCAGGACTTACTTTGTCTCACAAGGTTAGGCCCCAGACCCCCACAAGAACAATGGCAAGACTGTTACTTCTTTACTGTAAATAATTCTTTATATAAGTTCCTGTAAATAAACTGTTGCTTCCACATTACAAGCCTCATCAATAACCAACAGCTCACTTGCTACTTTAAGCACAACTACAATGCTCAGCCAAGGGTGCAGACAGAAGTAACTATGTTCACTAGGTGCCAGAAAGCCATTTACAGCTATGACCAAACAGAAGTGCATGTCTGCAGACTGCTTTAAAAGGGCTCAATCCTACAAAAATCTGAACCCTCATTGCATGAGGATTCAAATGAACATGATCCAAAACAGAGTGCATTCTGTAACTTGTGTCTGCAGAGCTCCCAGCCTGTCGCTGTTTTAAGAATGGGCGGGGGGAAAGGGAGCAGGAGGAGGTTGGTCTGGGGTTTTTTCCATCAGCACCTGAGGGGGATGGGGTGGGGGGGGAGGGAAGGGCTCGAATCCACTCACCCACCTTCCAGTGCTGCTGGGGAACCCCATGAATGAACTCCCGCTGCCTTCCTTTCCCCACTCCCATTCTAAAACCAGTGTCTGGGCTGGGAGGGGGAGTGGCTTTGCTATGGAGACCAGGCTGTAGGTTCACAGCTGTAAGCATCCAGAAGCCCCAACTCCTGGACTCATCAGCAAACTTCTGCTGGGTCCAGGGGATCACTGCAACTCATAGCGCTGCCTGCAAAGTGCTGAATTGCAATGGGGAACTTGCTCTGTCTGCACCTCAATAGTTATGGTTGTGATGGTTAACACAAGACTCTACCTATTTAGTTTGCCAAGCCATGCAAGTGGCGGCCATCTTGGCAGCTGTGTGGCATGCACAGCATCTCCTTTTTTTGCAAAGAAAACAGTTTTGCTCCTTAAAACCACTTGATTTTGGAGAGGAAAGAGTGTGTGTTATATCTGAGAAAAAGTGGTAAAATTTCTATGCTCATCCTAAGTGCCACTTCTATCCCCTTTCTCTGCCTAATCTGCTTCTCTGCTTTCTGCTCCTTGATGCACCTGTCATTCTACTGCCTTCCCTTCCTTGCTGTGCACCACACACAGAAGTTCCCTGTGCCCCTCGTGGCACACATGCCACAGGTTGGCTACTCCTGGTCTAGTAACTGGGTACTGCCAAACAAGTAGCTTTTACTATACTGAAGTGCAACGTCACACATCTAGGAATAAAGAATGTAGGTCAAACTCAAAGAAAAGAAGCTGTATGGAAAATCCACTATAGATTATGGAGTTAGGCAAGGCAGGGAGGAAGGTGCCACAGATGACCAGTTCAACATGAACTCCCAGCATTCAATCCTTGATTGTATAAAGAAATGTCATTACATCCATATATTTGTACTTAATTAACATGAGATCATGGTTTTCATGCATTAAAAAGAAGGTTTAAAGACGGGATGATATAAGAATGTTTCAAGGTTTGAAAAACCTGTGTTAGAGTGAGAGACTAAAGTAGTTCAATCTATTCAGGTCGGGGTGGGCAAAATGCGGCCCACGGGCCAGATGTGACCTGCCAGGCCATCCTATCTGGCCTGCGGGGCCCCTAAAAAATTTAGAAAAGTAATATTTATCTGCCCCTGGCTGCCTGTCATGTAGCCCTCAATGGCTTGCCAAAACTCAGTAAGCGGCCCTCTGCCCGAAATAATTACCCACCCCTGATTTAGGTCCAAAGGAAGATTAAGGGCTAACTAAATCATAATGCTAACTCATTCATAATCTACATAATGAGAAGATTTTCATTGGTACAATTTTTTATATAAAACAAGCAGTAAGAAAAAGATCCACTGACTGCAATTTGAAGCTAGACAAATTCAAACAGTAAACACTGAAAATTTAACAGTTTTGGCGATTAGTTATTAGAACAAACTTACGGGGGGATTCAGCAGACTTTCTTACAAAAAATTAAAATCATGATTGGAGGTGTCTTAAAGATACTGCTTTAGTGATTTAGTTTAATGCACAAATTACAGATGAACTACTAAGGTTTGCATTATGAAGGAGTTCTAACAGTGGTTCTTTTCAGTCTTAAGCTCCATTAGTTGGTTATTTGAGTCACAAGTACTTGAGACTTGAGAGTCACAAGTAAGCACAGGAAACAAGTGTTTTCTACAGGTTAAAACTTGAAAAAGAACCATCATTGGATATAACAAAATCCTGACACCCACTCATCACCTTTCTTCACCTCCAAAGTAAATGATTTCAGGAACAGAATTTCACCCATGGAAGTCTAACCTATTTTGTTCTGGTAAAACAGCGACTTTTTTGGAAACCAAAGGCAACCCAAATTGGCATAATACTTGTATCTAATATTACAACAAACATGAAAAGCTGTTTAATATACCAAACTATTTAAAAACAGAAGAATAGCAGTGCATAAAAAAACTGCATAAAAATCTTTTAATACTTTTAAAAAATAGAGTACCAACCTGAAACTTCAGGCTCATTTGTTGCCTTTTCCAGATCCATGTCATGTTCATATGAAACTGTAAATTCAAAAAACAGGTGTTTTTTTGTTTTTTGTTTTTTTTTACTGTTCTGATATGTTAACGTGTAATTATATTTTCATCCTCAACTGTTGCATGCCGGCAGCCTTCAGTCTCTCCACATGGAGAAGAAAAACTGGTTGAGAATAAACAAATTAAAGATATACAACTAGAACTCTACGATTGCACTCACAGACCTACAAAGACTGAATTATTAGGGCCGAAATTTCAAATGTAGTATTCAAGGTAAGAAAAATCAAAAGAAGAAAAAATAATATTCAGAAAAAATATTTGATAGTCAGTGGATACCAAACTTCTGGTTACCCCACATAAAAAGATGCCAACAAAGATACTGCCATTCATTAGTCACTGCACTTCCTCTTCCTCCAACTTTTACTAGCATTGGTCAGTAAATATTTGTAGATAACCACCAAAATGAAACAGTATAGAAAAATTATTTCATCATTGTTTTCTTTTCTAGCACTTGTTGCTGAAGTACAGGAAAACAAGTTCAAGAAAATGTAATATTAAACCATGACAACTTGAGACAGATAATCCGAGTGTTGCACTCCTGCCTGCACACACCCTGCTAATAGCACCACCCCAGCCAATGTACACAGCTGTCTTCCACCCACTCAGCCACCTTCAGGTGGCTGCTCATTGCACTGGGCAGGCAGAGTGGATAGAAGGCAGCTGGGAGCTGAAGCCCTGATATGGGGCAGAAACCACCCACCTACAGCTTCCCCCCAGCATGGCTGGGTATGTGGTGCCAATCACATACCCCAACAGCCACTGCCACTTCCCCGTGCTACCTGCTGCCCAGAGCAGCATAGCAGGGGCAAGAGGAGGAGCCACCACTGGAGGCAGAGGGAGCTGAGCAGTACCCGGGCAGCTGCAATAGCAGCAGTCCTACCAGGAAGTTATGCATGCTGGCTGGAATTGGAACGAGGGCCAAGGCAGTAACATCTGTGGGCATGGGGTGGGTGCTGGTAGGAGTGAGTGGAGTGGCTCCACACTGTGAAGGCAGCCATGGAGTGGATGGGGGGGGAAAAAGAGGCAGACCGCACCTGTACCTTCACTGCGCTGCACTGACTTAGCAAGCTCTGCTACACATGCCCTCTGACCCCCATCTCTCCCTCTACCCCTGGCCATCTCCGGGGACCCAGAGTGTGAGCAGCCCGTTGCACAATATACAAGAGTAATAATTTGTTATTTTGACCTATTATGTAATCGCTTCTATATACACTACTCAAAAAAAAAATCAGGACAAAATATTTTAAGTGACAAAAAATGAAGTTAAAATATGCTATAGCAGATGTCTGATTTGTAGAATACAATTTGTTTTTTATCTGTATTTTATTAAAATGACACCTTCTGAAAGATTGTGTGTGTGTGGCCCTTGACAGCTTGCCAACATTCGTTAAATAGTCTGCCAGCCAAAATGATTGCTCACCCCATGTTATAGCAATGCCAATGAGCTAAATCACTATCAACTTTAATCCTGAATGAAACAAGATAACAGGAGTAAGCCATTACAACATACAGGTATCAGTCAATATTTGTATAAGCCATATAAAATACATCTACCTCAGTAAAGTGCAAATCATTTGTTTTTGGGTCACTTAACAGTTGGAGCTGCTTGCTGAGTCACTCAGCTGCTTCAAAGGGTACTACTACTCCACTCAGTTGGAACTCATTAGCAGTCCTGAACCTTCTGATCAGAGAAGCGGTACTCATCGAAATATAACCATAGCAAATAGCAGGAGTAGCTCGGCAAGTACTTCAGCAGGTATGTGCAGCTGTTTGCTATGGCTCTGCATAACCTCACTTCATTTTCAGGGTGTTAGGAACCCTGAAAAGTATCCAGGTTCTACTGTATATATAATTTTTGTTTGCCCGGCTAGAAGCAGATGCATCTTGGAGACCAACATGCGGCTGCATAGATGGGGTCACCACCAAGTGTTTGGCTTCTACCACGGGGCGGTATTCCAAGAAGGACTGCTGAGAAGAGACAGAGTTCACCTGCCAAAGAGAGGGAATAGGCCTACTTTGTGAAAGGCCTTGCCAACCTGGAGAGGAAGGTTTTAAACTAGGTTCACCAAGGGAATGTGACGAGACCTAAGTAAAGAGCCAAGGAACCAGGATGAAAACTTAGTAAGGGGAAACGATAACAGAAGCCTTAGCAATGTTCTTAGGGAGAAGATAGGACAATCAGTTAAATACCCAAAATGTGCATGCACTAATGCAAGAAATATGGGGAATAAACAGGAAGAACTAGAAGTCCTAGCACAATCAAAGAATCATAATGTAATTATGGAGACATGGTAGATCATCACGTGACTCGATTACTGTCATGGATGGGTACAGCTTGCTCAGGAAGGACAGGCAGCGGAAAAAAGGAAAAGGTGTTGTCCTGTATGTAAAAGGAGATGTACACATGATCTGAGGTACAGTACAAAGTGCAAAATAGGCCTGCTGAAAGCCTCTATCTAAAAGTCAGAGGGCAGAGCAATAGGAGGGGATATTTCATTGTCTGCTATATGTCACAAACCAGGAGAAGGAGGTGGATAAGGCCTTCTTTGAACAAGTAACAGGAGTTTCCAAATCACAAGACCTGGTTTTAATGGGGAATTTTAATTAGTAGGACATTTGCTGGGTGGGAAACACAATAATGCACAAGCAGCCCCACAAATTTCTGGAGTGTGCTGAAGATAACTTTTTGATACGGATGGTATAGAATCCAACTAGGAGGAAAGCTATTGACTTAATGCTCATGAACAGAAAAGAGTTAGTTGAGAATGTGAAGGTTAAAGGTAACCTGGGTGACAGTGACCACAAAATGACAAACTTTAAAATCCTAAGGGGAGGAAGGAAGTTTCCACTTTTTGTAGGGTAGCAGAACAAAGACAGAAAAGCAGACTTAAACTCAGGGTAGTAGTGGGTATGGTCTCCTGGGAGGCAAGTCTTGGAGAGAACAGTTCAGGAGAGCAGGCTGAGCTTTACATATTGAGAGTGCAAGAGCAAACTATCCTGATGTGACAGAAAAACAGGAAATGCAACAGGAAACTAGCCTGCCTAAATAGCTCTCTCTTCAATGAACTGAAATGCAAAAAGGGATCCTAGAAAAAGTGGAACTTGGTCACAATACTAATGAAGAGTGTACAAACATCATAGAGGCATACAGGGAGGAAATGATAAGGGCCAAGGCATGATTTGAGATAAAAATGGTAATGTATATAAAAGGGATTCTACAAGTATGTCAAAAGTAAGAGGAAGGTGAAAAAAACCATAAGCCCTTTACAGAATGCAGAAAGCAACTTAAGTTATGGATGATGCAGAAAAGGAGGATAGTGCCCATCTTTAAGGGAAAAGATCCAGGGAATTACAGGCCAGTGATCCTAACCTTGATACCTGGAAAGATCTTCAAGGAATCTAGTCTGATGTTCATTAATGCATGCTTACTGTTTTGATTTTTCTTGATTCTCCACTATTTCTGCATGCTTTATCCACAGCTTTTTGCCACATATTAGTAAATTAGATCATAAGCTATTTAGGGCTAGGGGTGTTTTTCAGACCTAATATTTGTCAATCACCTGTTAAAATGGGGCCTGAACTTGACTAGAATTTAGGCACTATTACATAAATAGTTAAGATGCCATGCACATCTATTTTATGAAATAATAAGATAGTAAATGAACACTCACTGTTCTGCTTTATTATCATTCTTAAATTCAGTACTACATATTTTTGCGCTCATTTGTTTGTAGTCAGTGTATTACCTTATAATAACTTTACCTTCAGACACTAAAAAGTAAAGCTGCCACTTTTGTGATTTATCACATCATCACGATATTACGTCAATGTCAAGACTAATCCTAACACTGGGATAACTGCAGCAGAACATAATCATGCTGATGAGATATTATGATATGACAGTCCCATAAATAATTCTAGAAACTGTGAGTATCTGTAAAGCAACTTTCTTTTCACAGGATGGTCGTGAGGTTCCTAAAGATACTATTACAAATATTAAATCAACTCTGGCTTAATTATTGCTCTTTGGCTTCTATGGTTTTATCTAGCATTAAGCAACAAAAGCAGTATTCCACCATTAAGAGTAACTAGTCATACCAGGAATCTCAACTGTTTCAGGCTCTTGTACTTCAGGTTCGTCTGCTTGATTTTCATGGGGTTCATCCGCTTGATTGTCTGAGAAGCAAAAATTATTTTTTAAAATTAAAAATATACAATAAAGGAGTAAAATTTCCCAACAGATCTTGGCTGAACAAACAGTTTAGGAAAGAATAAAAAGGTCTAAATTAGAACGAAGAAAGCTTATGGCAACAAAAGTAAAATCACATAAGGTATATTTTCAAAACAAGATACTAGCTAATATTGTAGATCTAAAATGTGTTAAAATGCTATTGTTTTATAAAATTTGATTGCTCAGTAGCGTTTGCAAAATTGAAATATTTGCTAAATATAAAGAATGAATCAAAATTTAGGCTATGTATTTACTTCTAGGATCTACTATTTTAGTTTAGCTATTATTTGTGCTAGTGGTACAGATACCTTCCTGAATTGGTTCCGTTGTTTCAATTACTTCTAGCAGTTCATCCTCTAATTCTCCATGTAAGTCATCTGTTGCAGGAATTTCAAAAGCTTCCTCATATATTTCAACCTTCTCCTCCTGCTGATCATTTACTCCTTCATCTACATCTTCCTTTCTCTCTCCTGATTAATAATAAATACTATTACAGAACATGTAAGCTATATGGGTGAATTGAATCACCAGGAAACAGTCAACATTCAACAAACATCACAAATAATTCTCAGGCACACCACCCCCTTTGCAAAGTGCCATTATTACAGTGTAATTCTAAAATGCCTTAAGCCTCTAGAAGAAAAATTCAGCAACAGACAACATAATCCCCGTTTCCCCATTCTACCAGCATTACTAAATGTAAAGATGTAGCACACTGGACTTCTTAGGCCACTGATTTGAGGATTCCAATCAACTGCACACCATTCTGGATGTAAGACGAGCCCAGGCTCTCCCTGCACCGGCAAACAACAAGTTGGGTGCCCGGTGTGCCCAGACTGGGAGCACCAGTTAGAGGACTAGCACTCCCAGCTGTGAGACCGCACCGAAGCAAAGGGCTCCAATGCACTCCCAGGGGGAAGAGTGCTGTTCAGCTGACTGGCACCCCCAGCCCTGGGAGTGCATGGGAGCTCTTCAGGACTCTGGTGTGTTTTCAATGTTGGGAATACCAATTACCTAATTGGCAATGACCACACATTCAGTTTAAGGCACAATGGGAACCAGCCACAAAGTTATTACACATTTTATGTAATGATTCTGGGGCTTACTTCCAGTTTTACTGCTCCATAAACAGCATAAACAAGTAGCCAGGTTACTACTAAAGACATGATTAACTGGTTAATTGCATCTTAAATGTAACATTTGCCAGAGGCCTTCCTTGCAGGATGTGCAACTGGGAGCTCTTCTGGAAAATGAGGTCATAGCATCAGAATCTGCTTGCTAAAAATACTGGCTATCCCTTTATTTATATGTAGATGAAAGCAAGCATAGGAGCACATACAATAAAGCTCAAATTTCTCTAGCTGGTAAGGGTATTTATAAAATGCCCAGTAGAGATTGCCAAGTATGAATTCATACCAAACTGGGAATGGTGTTCTTCCTGGAGGACAGGCTGGATTTCCTCTTCCACTTTAGGTTCACCAATCTCATGTTCTAAAGGTTATAAAGTACAATAAAGAGAAGTCCTAAGGATCAAGGCTTTAAAACACTTCAAAATATGAACCAGGGAAGGTCTAGATCATATTTTGTCATTTTGTGATGTTTCTTCATCCCTAATTAACTGGACTGCAAAAACAATGCAAAAAACCCCCAAATAGGCTGCTTTTATAAAATAACAATATTTGCCCAGTTTTATCACAATTTAAATGAAAAAGAACTGGAAACATTTCATTTACATTTTGTATGTCAGATTTTAACTATTCTGTACGTCTTCTCAGGGACAGTAACACTAGCAACCTTTAGTTAATTGGTTCCTAGTAGAAACAACAAGAAATCCCTTCCAGTTAAATCTACTTAGAAATAAAAACTGCAACAGATCAAAAAAAATCATCTTTAAAGAAGTTGTGAGATTTCAAAAATGCAATTATTTCAAATAGTAGTAATACCAGCTTAGTTTTATCCGATCTAATATTCCTTTTTTATAGGGAAATATTAGTTTTATGTCAATAAAAATTTTAGAACTTATATATTCAAATTATTTTAAAAATATCATGAGGGGAAACTAATTATTAACTTGCCTTTTAATTCTGTACATCAGCCATTGAGTATTACATGAAAAACTACTTATTACACTGCATTTTGAAAAAAAACAGTGAATACACAGTGTATTATATAAAGGAAAATATTCTACTTTTTAACACTGATTCTAGGTTGCTGTTTATTAGCACGACACACATTATGAACTCATTGTAAATTGCTGTATGCATAATTAAAGATGATGCATTTCCTAAAAAGTAAAAAGAAAAAAAAAATTAGTAGGCATTGTTTGTGGATAAGACCCCCAAGTGGTATAAAAATCACACTGAAGCTTCCAATATGAATGTTACATTACTTAGAAAGCTTCTGCCAATTAAAGCTCTGAGGAAATGGAAAAAACATTTGAGTTTTGAACTCAATCAGGAACACTTTTTATACAGCACATGTACAGTTCTTGGTGCAACATGGCTCTCATTTTGTAACGATATCCTTTTTGTTACCACAAAACAAAACAAAAATTGCAGCAGCAGCAACACTGCTTTAAGCAGTATGTATATAAAGGCAATAATACTGAGGAACCATCCAACACAATCTACTTACAGAACCGTAGAACAATGGGGCACAAGGGACCTCAAACAGCTGCCTCATTCAATCCCTGATTGTCCCATGTTAATCATCCTGGACAAATGTTTGTCTAACTTGCACTTTAAGACTCCCAATGATAGACACATGATAATCTCTAGATAATCAGTACCGGTGTTTAGCTATTTTTATAGTTAGAAAGGTCCCCCTGCTGTACTACCCTAAGGCTTCCTTTTTGCAATTTAAGCCCATTACTTATTTTAAATGATTATTGTCCACTTTCCAACAGACTTGTATTATAATGTATGCATAGAAGAAAAATTATTAAAATTTTAAAATTTGGCTTTATATTTTAAGTCGCTTTGAAAAGCTACTTGTATGCATCACTATGTTCTCTTCCAACAGTAACAGCAATATAACTATGAGAGGCAGCACCTCTTTACATTTTTAGATATTGTATCATCTTCATTTACCACTTGATGGTATAGTCTAAACAAGTTTGCTGGACCCTCTTAAACTGTCAAATCTGCAGCAATTTTGATTAAATACTCTAGTAGATCAGCATGCTTACCAGCAATTGTATTTGCACAGAAAAATATACAGAGATAAAACTATTCACATTATAGTCAAGCCAGTTCAGAGTCCCTTTAAAATGAATTTGCTAATCAATAAGAATTATCATTTAGTGCTTATAGAACAGTTAACTACAATGATTCTTCAATCACCTATAAAGAATGCCATTAATTTTTATACCAATTAGCTGTAAAATGACAGCTTTTTTTTTACCTGTAGAGGTCATGGTAATTTCACATACATTATGCTTCATTTGCATCTCTGGAAGTGAAACCCCTGCTGCTTTTTGTTTTCTTGTACACTTTATAAGACACCTTACCTGATTTAATGAATGACTGCTCTGAAGGTTGAATGGACTCCTCAGTTTCTGCTGGTGTGCGCTGTGCTGGGACAGATCTTTCTTTAAGTCCTGCATTTTTCAGTTATAAAGTTAAACTTTAGCTTTTTTGTCTTGATTCATTATATATCAGTAAGAGACAATTTGGTTCAGTTATATCGTCATCAAGAGTTAAACATCAATCCAAAAGCACTATAAAAGCACCTGGAAATTTATTCAAGCAATTTACTGTTCCAGGTTGCCTCAGCATATTTTAGAAGACTCACACATACAAAAAAGGTTATAAAACATTTTAGGAAAATAGAGGATTGGGAAAAATGGGTATGGATACCCAAACATCTTTTGCTGGTACAAGCATAATGAACAAAATCCAAATTCATTTATTTACATTAACTCTGTTTGTATAGTACCAATAAGAAAAATGTATGCTAATAAAACATAGTATCGTCTCCCATTTGAAAAATGGGTATATTTACATGGTTTTTTGTATGCCTTGCGAATTAAAGTTGTATGGCAAAGCTTTCATATGTAGCTTGTAAGAAACATGATTAATCTTAAAACCTTAATATTTAATCCCTCAGTAGCTTATGAACAAAACTACCAACCTAATTTTTGCCTTTAACTTCAGTAACTTCATCCTTTGGTTTTCTTCAGTTCATAAATCAGGCCCATGATTGCCAGAGAAAAGTTATGATAAATGGAGCTGTGCCACAGAGATGTTTTTATTAAGACTGGCTCTACAAATAAATACTTCCCTCTACATCTCACCATGACAGAAAGAGATAAGATCATACAATCTAGAGATGAAAAGATGACTGATTCTATCCCTCACCATCGAAAACTGCACTGCTACCTAAAACACATATACTATTTATTTACTCAGTCTGATTTCACAGAAAGTACAAGTGAAAGGCTTGAATCACTTACACCAAGCAAGAATTCCAACAGCCGAGGAGATATTATTTTCAGGATGAATAGCTAAGTAAATTGGCCTACGTTTTCCTCTGTACTTTTGTATAAAATTGATAAGTGAGTGTCTTCTCATTTTAAATACAAGACTCACAAGGAGGATGTAAGATGTCCCATATAATAATTTTTCTGGCACAGTACTGATCATAACTAAGACATTTAAAAAAAATCTTTTATAAGGAACATTTAATACTAAAAAAAGAAGAAATAAAAACCCAGCTTCCTACCTCAAGATAAAGTCTCAATTTCAGCTCTTCCACAAATCAAGCCTGCTTTCAGACATTAAAAAAAAACAAACCAAACCTTAAAACTACACATGCCCCTGTGCCAAGCCGAGCACATGCCCAGAAGGAGCATCACATTATTTGAACCCAGCTCACCCAACATCTGTATAGATCAGAAATTTCAGCAGGGTTTTTTAGCACTTTTAGCTAACAGCTAACTGAATCAGGTTTAAATAAAAGCACCCAAAGGCCCTGAAGAAGCGCCTGATCTATACAGATGCTACAGAGCCAAGCTGAACTAACGCACTGCATCATCCAGTAAAGTGTAGGGTTTTTTCCTATGTCTGTCAGCAGCCCAAGTGATTTTTCACTAAGTAGATTGATAGACATACGTATTCTAAAATATGTGCCTTGGTGTGTTTTCCTTTTTAAGTATTCCAGCACACATAGTACAGTACGTGCTGTAACAATGCAGTGGCAAAAGCATGATAGAACAAATATTCAATTTTGAAACTGACATTAATTCACCATTTTAGTTCCACCAATATTTTTAATCTCTTCACTTGTGTTTAGTGCAAGTACAAGTAATACAGTGAGTGTGTCTGCGCGCAAAAAAATCTGCATAAAGCCTAATCTCATAAACATTCTGAACCTTTTTAACAGTTGTGTACAAGTTCATTCATATTAATTAAATACAGTAATACCTCAGTTAACGAAGCAGATGTGTTCCATGATATCACTTTATCATCAGAAATTTCATTATCAGTGGTAAAAATAACAGAAGGCAAAGGGATGCGTTCCAGGACTTCAGAGAGGGGGTACAGTAAGAAAGTATCATTAAATACGCAATTAAAGAGACCCCCACAGCCTTGCTGGTGCCCCTCATCTTCCAGCCCTGCTGTGGGCTTGGGCAGGGCAGCATCCCGCTGCTGCACGCACTCCCAGGGGACAGGGGAGACCCACACTCCCCAGAACTGTGCGCGGGGCAGGTGCAGGTTGCAAGCTGCCCCCCCCGCCACGGTCGTGGGGGGAGGGAAGCAGGGTGGCAGGGAACAGTGGGCAGAGGAGCTGCACAGAGAAGCTGCCTGCTGCTGCCCCAGTGATGTGCTTCCTGCATGCAGGTCACGGCATAGGGCTGAACCTTTCAAAGCAGCAGCAGGCGCAGTGGGTACGTTGCCAGGGCAGTGGGGGCGGGGAGGGCAGCTCGCCAGGGCGAGATCCCCATGCAGTTCCACTGTCTCCAGCCATGCTGGGTTGTGTCCATCAGGTGCCAGAGGCCCTGGAGGAGGGAAGCATGGCAGGAGCCTGTGCCCGCAACCTGCACCTGCCCCTAAACCACGCACAGATCTGTGGGGTGTGGGCCTCCCTTGCCACCCAGGAGTGCACACGGCAGCAGGAAGCCAGTCCTTCTCCTCCCCCAGACAAGACACCCACAGCTCTGTCCTGCTCCCTGCTGGGGCCCTACAGCAGCACATTGTGTCCCCAAGCCCCAATCTGTGCATGGCTGGGCAACAGCCCCAGACCTGTTTAGTTCCCTCCCTGAAGGTGCCTTAATTCCCGTCCCCCCACCCCTCACCTACTGGAGCTGCTTTACAAGCTGCCTAGGGCCACGTGTATGTACTGTACATGCATGTGTCACCCCCCCCAACCTTCCTTTCACTCCCTTTGAGCTCCCTGCAGGCTGGAACTGTGCCAGCCTACAGGGAGCTCACTGCAAAATTGAAAAATCCATGGGTTTCTTTGGTAAAGAGAAAAAGCCACAGGGGGTTTTTTCAATTTTTTTTTGCAAAAAACAACTGACTTCATTTTAAAGGAGATTTGTTCCTAGAGGATTCATTAACTGAGGTATTACTGTAATAGGGAACTCCCATTAGTGTGGTAAAAGGAACATTTGTATCTCACACTTTCTTTATTTAAAAGATACATTAAAGACTTTTTAAAATATATTTTTAAAGAATATAAAAAGATTTTTAAAGAATTGTAATAGATTATAAAAACTATTAACAAGGAGAAGTAATAGTAACCTACTATAGATCTAGTATGTCCAAAGCAAGCTTATCTGCAAAAAAGGCAGATGTCCATTATTCTTAATCGTTATTCTATTTTACCCATGGAAATGAAGGTAAAGGTTACATTAAAAAAATAAATAAAAGCAATCACAGCTAACCAGGCTGTTTTATTCATTAGTATAACATCATAGAATCAAAGTGACAGATATTCTCAGAGTAATTTATTCAGAGGACCAGCATCATCCACAAAGAAGGTACACTATGAAGAACAGTTTTCTGTTGCCAAGTCCCTCGTACATGGAATTACCTGCACTGAAACACCATGTACATTTCATTTGAAGACTCTCAAACATTCTTTTATAGAATAATAAGCAACAGTTGGATACAGATGTATGACTTTAATGAAAGATGCTCTGAGACAATCCTGTGCGTAAAATTACACAATGATATATTAATTCACATAGTGCGAAAGATGCACAAATTTATCTTACTGAAAACCACAGAAAAGCAGAATTAACACTTTTAAAGAAATGAAACTGGTTTGCACTATGTTACTGTGAAGCTGCTTTCCAAAAAATCACATTATTACTAAGGTCCAAATGAATGCTTAACTTTATTTGTAAAAAGTTCCACTGAGGACAATGGGATTCTCCACACACTTAAAAATCTGCAGAAGGCTGAGGTTCTGGGGGAAGATGGAGCAAGGGAAAGAAGGAAAATTAATTCCTTTTCCCCAGTTCTACTTAATGTGTCCACTTTAAAAATATTCATAAATATAGCTATCCAATTCACTTTCTAGACATTCTTTTTTTGCAGTGGTAATTATCGATTCTAACAAACTTTGTTGAACTGCACACTGTTCCAAACAGTGGAGGGGAAAGAGAATAAAAGGAGTTCTGCTACCAAATATGTACTTTCACATGTAATGGATTACAGTAAAACAGGGGTTTTCAACCTCTGTGGATCAGTGTAACCCTGGCAGCCAGCTGTGAAGCAGTGTACCCCCGGTGGTCGGACACAGAGCAGGGCAGGGGAAGAGGGTGTGGCACACAGTCGAATGCAGAGCAGCAGCAACCACTGGGTGTGAGCTTCCCCTGCCTCCCCGTGTCTGGCCACGTCACTAATTTTTATGCTAATCTATGCAGACTACAGTTATCAGAACATATTTAAATATTCACCTGAAAGTAATTCAACATTTCAATCCTCCTAATTATGAAAACTATAATTAAATCATACAGTATCATTTGTCATTCTTTTTTATTTTCAAAATATTCCCTTCACAGCATTATAGAAGAATGCCATACCATCATTGCATCTGTCATCCAGGGGACTTAAAAAAATGTTATAATCAATAAACCTCAACCCCAGTAAGCAGATGTAATATGCTGGATAAATAGTAACAGAATGAAAGAGTGGGAGGAAAAAAAAAAAATTCTAAGACAGGTTCAGAGAACACCAGAACAAAACTTCTGGAGTCAGATTGCAGAAGAGGACCTGGGGATTATAATGGACAATAAACTGAATATGAGCAAACAGTGTGCCCTTGTTGCCAAGGCAGCTAATGGTATAGCGGGCTGAACTGGTAGAAGCAATGCCAGTAGGGCAAGGAAAGTGATTATTCCCCTCTATACAGCACTGGTAAGGCCACATCTGGACTACCGTATTCAGTTTTGGGTCCCCCACTACAGAAAGGATGTGGACAAATTGGAGAGAGTCCAGTGGAGAGTAACAAAAATGGTGAGGGGGCTGGGGCACATGATTTCTGAGGAGAGGCTGAGGGAACTGGGTTTATTTAGTCTAGAGAAGAGAAGACAGAGATGGGTTTGAAAAAGGATGGAGCTAAACTGTTCTCAGTGGTGGCAGATGACAG